TTTTACCATTATTACTTGCTTTAGTATATATATTTGTGCTATCTTCAGAAAGCTGACAGTAGTATTTATGTAGACAACTAAGCAATATCTTGCATAATATTTTTTAAGGATTATCAAAATTCTGGTAAATATTTTCTGGGAAAATCTGCCGAAATCTTTTTACTTATGCACATTTCTAAAAGGCTCACAAAAAGTCTACTATTGGGAATTTAACTATACTTAATAAAACCTAGCTCCAAAGAATCTTTTTGTAAATTAACTATAAACAAATGTAAAGCCTTCTTCAAGGAAATCATGCATAAGAAATACAAATGTGTGTAGTGTTGTAATTAGAGCACAAGAAGTTTGTTTGGTTAATGTCAGGTATTTATCAAATTTTATTTTGATCAAATTTCAGTACAATTTGCAATTTCTCTATAAAGTGTGGGTTTGTTATCACCTTTCAAAGCAGCATTGCTGAGTTTGATTAGATGAATTAAGTTTCTGCTTTGAATTCAGTATGATAAATAACTTATAAAACAATGATAATTGTGCTGCGTTATTTCTTTCAGAAAAATAACTCTAAATTAGCAGTTGTAGCTGCAGTTGTTTTGCCAAATATTGTCGATGTTGACAACTTGTTTGTTGTAACCAAAATATGTGATTTGATAATTAATTTTTATTGCTTTTTTTTGCCTGTTTAATAATTGATCTTTTAATAAACTTTAAAAAATATATTCCCTACAATGTAATCAGCAGTAACTTCAACAAGAAGAAAAAAACAAAAACCGAATTTATCAAATAACAAGTATATTTTAAACACACCCTTTCTAAACTAAATGATAAATTAATAATTTTTCATCTCCAGTATATGCTTTATGAAACTATAAAAATGCATTAACATTTGTAAAATGGTTATCGGTAACAATAGTTCTTATCTTAAATTCAGATTGGTGCATTGAGGTAATACACTCATTAATTTCTTTTTTCAAACATAATTTATGTTTGAAAAACATAAATTTACTCTTATGTTTTGAAATCATAACCTAAAGTTTACATAACAGGTTTATGTCATAAACCTGTTTTGTAAACTTTAGGTTATGATTTCAAAACATAAGAATAAATTTTTGAAGCCCTTCAATCATAAAAACAAAAACAAATTCTTTATAAAGATTGTTTTCTCAATCTTCATCAAAATGTTTACCACTTTGGGCTGCTTTTTGAAAGTACACCTTACCCACAAGAAGCAAATAATCTCTTAATACCAAATTTTTGTCAATGATTTTTCTAATATATTATAGTTTTTCAATTTGTATTTTTTACCACTGCGAAACCATTTAAATAAAGAAGAATGATAACCATTTATTTGGCAATGAAAAAAATTAGAATTTTATTAACAGCTATTGACTCCAAAACAGTTGGTATGTCTGATATTTCTTGGCTACTGTAAATAAATAGCCTGATTTGTTACATTTTAATTGTTGTATGTTTGAGGCAGCATAATAAATGCAAAACCTTGTTTTGCAGTGTAAATAAATTAAAGAAAAATTTATGTTTTCTACTTAATAATTGCAATTATGATAAATACAAAATTACAAACCTTTAAAATTATTTCCAATGGAGAGTTGTGGGTAGTTTTAGCAATATGTAAGATTATTTTTAGTAGCATGTTTATATGTGTTGATATTAGGTACGTAAGTAAAATTTTCAAATTGTTTGAATACTATAATGTTATATATTATTAGAAAGAAGATTATTACAGTATTTTAAAGGTGAAAAAATTATCAAAATCGAACTATTGGTTCAAAAGTTATGACGGTTTAAGTACCGATTTTTCGATATTAGGATTTGTTGAAGAAACTGTGGTCAAAATATTGTTTTTCTTTACTTAAATTGTCATAACTTTGTCAATTCTTATCGAAAAACAAATATCTTAGTGTCAAAAGATAGGTGTAAGAGTGGGCTACAACTTTATGTTAAACTCTAACCACTGGGCGTTTCTGATGGACAGAGGGGGCACCAAACCACCACCATCCCCGTACAAAACTGAACACTTTTTTTAGAAAAAAAGTTTTTTTTAAAGACATAAGCAATATAAATATTAAAACAAATTGTTTTAAATTTATACTTAACCATTAAAATATATGAGAGGTGTATGTTAGCAATAGAGGTGGGTGTGGTGGTGGTGGTTTGATACACCCTAGTATCAAAAACGACTTGATTTTATATTTATATCTTTACTGGAATGTGTAAAATTAGTATACAATATAAAATTATGTTATACATGTTCTTATGTCTACAAGTGGTGTTTCTATTACAGGAGGGCGTATGCCCCCCCACCCATCCTAAAAAAATATATACAATTATTGTTTTCAAAATTTGAATAATAAATTTAAAAATGAAATCATGAAATTGGAAATAAATTAAAAAATAAATTCATATCAGACAACCATCAAATATGGAAGATGAATGTAAAACTCATAGTAGATATGCTGATGATGTTTTAAAGGGAAAAGAGGCATTCTAATGCCCCTTCCCCCTCTAACTTAATTTTATTATTTAATTGGTTATATATTATTAAAAAAATTATACAACTACTATTGTGGGGCTATAATTAAGTCAATTGGCTTTAAAAAACATGTCATCTTTATAACAAAGTATAGCAAATATCTATATTATTGTCTTTCATGTGATTCTCACATTAACAGAACCATACAGTATGGTTAACGAGATAACCATTTTCTTCGGTTAATAAACAAATTTCCTGTTTCAAAATAAATATTATTTATGCAAGTCACAACACTTGCAGTGTTATTAAATTAATTAAATTGTAACTCACTGGAAACAACATCAGCAGCAAGCTGGATCTTTTTCATGCAATAGTCAACAGCTCCAATATCAGTTTCATCATCTTTCCAGTAAGAAATGGTGTAAATAAAGTTATTTTTTCTTTTATTAACTTTTTCTACTCTTTCGCTATATAAAACACTTTTGCATGTTTTTGGATCGTACCATTCATGTTCTAGTTTCTTCCAAACAAATCTATCTGACATGACATCTTCTAAATCAAATAGTTGGTCATTGGACAAGCGCTTGCATGAATTAATAATTTCATTAAAACTCAATTTGGATAGTTAAAACTCCATTTTTTGGCGCTTGATTTTTTGTCTTTGGCAAATCTCATCTCTCACTTTGCATCGATGCAGTTGATTTGTAAATCTGTTTTTATGTGCTACATTAATTGACCATTTAACAATCTTTTTTCTTAAACTTAAATCTTTTTTAAAAAAATTTTAAATCAAAACATTTATTCAACAAGGAATACTAACACAGCATAAAAATACTTTAATATAGTAACTAAAACAATTCAAACTTAACTTACTGATTGTTTGTTCTAAATTGTCTACAGAAAAAAAAGAGTGACTTAAAAAAATGTAAGTATTAAGTATACAAAAATACAACTAACAAGAAATAATATTGTTAGACAACAATCTACACAGGCATAATAAAGAACTGTATTAGAAAACTAATATATATATATATATATATATATATATATATATATATATATATATATATATATATATATATATATATATATATATATATATATATATATATATATATATATATATATATATATATATATATATATGTATATACATATATGTATATACATATATATATATATATATATATATATATATATATATATATATATATATATATATATATATATATATATATATATATATATATATATATATATATATATATATATATATAGAACATATATAGAACATATATAGAACATATATTATAATAGCATCTATTTAATAACTACTAAGCTATTGAATACAGAAAGCAACTAACTGATGTTGTTGGCTGCACTACAACTTTGGGCATCTAAAACAGTGAAAGAAATATTTAAGTTATACATAAAGATTTAGATAGTGGCCAGATAATTTAAAAACAGTTTAATAAATTTATATCGAAACAACTTATCCATAAAGATATTTCTTATTAAATAAAAACAATGTTCAATCTTCAAATTAGATATGATTCATCAATAATTTAATTCACATCTAATTCTTATTATAAATATAATATGAAATACTAGATGAAACCTTTATTTTCTTCCTCCATTTTATTTCTAAATTAAATATAAAATCCAAGTCTTATTTTAATATTTACTAAAAATCATTTTATTAAAGTAATTTCTTTTAAATGTACAAATTTTTTAACTATATTTTTATTATAAAATATCTAGGTTTACAATATCAATTTATGACATAAGTCAAATATTGCTAATATGAATACTATATATGTAAAATAAATATAAATAAAAACAATCAATAGACCACTCTGTCTCCCACGCCAAAATCAGGTAAAATGTAAATTAGGTAACAAAAGTGCAGCAAGAAATAAGGTTACTGCTACAAAATATTTTTCAACAAAAATTGGCAGGTGCATAGATAAATGAATAAATTTAATAAAAAAAATGGATAGAAAAAAAAAAGACTACATCCTGGAAATTAAATTCACCACAGAAGTACAACCAAAATTTTGACATCAATAAACTCGTTAATAAATTAAGTGAGTATAATTAAAAACCAATCGAACTAATGCTTCAACTATTCTTCTTTCTAAAAATAATCTATGTTGATAACGAATACTAAAAAGTTATTCCACAAAACCTTCCTCAAGCACTCTAACTTTTAAGAGACTACGAAAAACGTGGAACAGAATTTTAGCACAAAATTCGGTTCCGTAAAACGCGATACTCACGTACCTATTGATATAGCTATCTGAAAGCCTTCAGTATTCTTTTTTATTGGAATAAACTGAAGCAGGCAATCAGTTAACAGAAAATCTAGCACAAAATAATTTAATTAATTAAAGAAAATCTAACTAATATTAAACCATTTTAATAAAATAAAAATAAAACAATTATAGTGCAAACAAGACTCTTGACCATAACAAAATTTAAGTTTTTATACTTAAGCCGTAAAAAAAACTGGCCTCTTAATTTTTTACGGAAAATGCAACAAATCAGGCCGTGTAATTTAAGTAGGCCATGGTATTATACATATTCATTTATAAGTTCTTTTAACTCTACTTTGTCATAGACTGCAATTCTTTAAAGTTATTGACGTCAGACAACTTAAACTTTACTTCCTTATATCTTTTTTTTAAGGTTAATCTAGAAACTTGATTTTTTAGCATTTATCAATGTAACTCGACCTCTATCCATCCATATATAGAAAGTACTATGCTTTATATAGTTTTACTTATATATTTCACTTTTTAGAGTTTCAGATAAAAGTTATATTTCAACTTGGTGAAAAAAAAAAACATTTTGGTAGATTAACTGATCAATTCTCCTATTTTCCAGAAAAAAGCTTTAAACAACTTATTTAACAATTCAGATGAACTTGATGTTTTGAAAAGAAAAGTTGTAAATGAAGATATCCAATACATTACTTTTGTATGCATGAATTTAACCTTTAAATTACGCAACACTAAATTTCACCAATAAACAAAACAAATAAGATTTCCCTCGCAGAGCCTCAAATCATATAAAAAAGCCTATTAAGTTTAATCAAAATCCCCGCGTAAAAGAGTAGTTTATGGACGACGCTTTATAATATAAAGCATCGTCCATAAACTACGCAATGCAAAATATATTTGAAAAAAAGGAGTAGGAGATTTTAATCTCTTTTACGCAGGGATATTATGTTACATATTATTAGAATATTTTTTTAAAATTGTCATGAACTTTTTTAATGTTTATTCAATTGTTTCTTTTTAGGTAAAAATCAAGCTGACACAATTAAAAATTATTTATTATAATTTGTTTGCAAATTATAATAAATATTATAATTTTTTATAATTCAAAAAAAGTTTGAACTTTGACAACTATGTTTGACAGTATGACATTTATCATCTTTTTTATATATGTAGACCGTCAACAGACGCCATTTTGTCAGAATACAGCATGAATGGTGGAAAGAAAAAAAAAGTTTAAAGAGTTGGCAAGTCTATGTAACGCTGTCACTGGTATTCTCATTAGCTTATTATTGTGTTTGATTAATTTTTAAAATTAAGAACAATGTTTTTTTTAAAAAAAAAATTTAAATTTTATTAAAATTTTTTGGCTATGGAACATGAAATGTATTAAGTATATTTTATTATATGATTTTATTGAACTATGTCTAAACTAAATCTATAGGTAAAGATTAGGTAAGTCGTTACGTACTTAAGCCATGCTCTAACTCAATAACAACTACACTAGCCATGATTAACCAAAAATTAATGGAACAAGGCATGTTACTAAAGGCATGGCTTGTAGCAAATGTTACTCCTTTGTTCAAAGGAGGTTCTAAAAGGAATCCAAACAATTACAGACCCATTTCCATTACTTCTGTGCCATGCAAAATAATAAAGAAAATAATTAAAAATAAGATAATTCAGCATCTACTGTCTCAAAATTTTATATCAAATTGCCAGCATGGCTTCATAAACAAAAAATCTTGTGTTACTGATTTATATGAATTTTTTGACCTACAATAAATCACGTAAGCTTCCTGTTGACATTGTCTTCCTAGATTTCGCTAAGGCGTTTGAAAAAGTTCCACACACTTGACTGCTACAAAAGCTGAAATCCTATGGAATTGAAGAGAAAACTTTTAACTGGATTAAAGCGTTTCTTTCAAATTTTACTCAACGTGTCCTACTGTAACATCGTGTGGGAAAAAGTTACAAGTAGCGTTTCTTAAGGCTCAGTCCATGGCCCGATGCTTTTTGCTGTCTTCGTTAATGATTTACCGGAACAAATTAGTAGCAAAAATATATGCAAAATGTATGCAGACGACACTAAAATCCTTAGTGTGGTCAGCACTGAAGAAAAAAAACTTTTTTTTGATAACATTGGTTATTGGGTTCAAGAATAGCTTACAAAAATAAATATTAGAAAATGTAAAAAAAAATGTATTTCAGCTAATCCAAATCCGTTGCACACAAATACTTTATTGATGAACGTAGCTCAAACAACAGTCTTAACATAATTCAACTTGAATCAACCTCATCAGAAAGAGACCTTGGTGTTTTAATTTCCAATGACCTAAAGCAAAATTTCCAAATATCTATTGCTGCAACCAAGTTGTATATAGCCAAAAAGCTATATACAACTTATATACGCCCACTTTTAGAATTTTCCATTACCGTTTGATGTCCTTATTTAGAAAAGGACATTTCTGTTATTGAAAGCATTCAACGGCGTGTTACAAAAGTAACGCAAGAAATGAAGCTTTTTGATTATAAATCAAGGTGTATCAAACTTGGTCTCTCTTCTCTATGCAAACGAAGAAAACGATTGGACCTTATTCAAAAATTTAAATTAGAGAATAAAATTGAGTTAGTTAACTGGTTTGTTAATCCAATTAACATTCCCCCCAGCTACGGCTTTCGTATCCGGTACCATCGTTGAAACAAAAATTGTCAAGTCCAATATAACAATACCAGACGATGTAGTAAATACTACCTCAGTGAAAAATTTTAAAACTAATTTAGATCGCCATCTAAAACAGTTACCATAGCACATCATTTTCCGTGACTGCTTTAATGCTGCTATACGAATTAACTTTGCTAATTAATGATGAACTTACGGTTTATGTATTGTTCCGTATAACTTTTAAATTTATTTATTTATTATTAATAAATAAATAAATTTAAAAAATATGTGTTGTTTTTACTAGATGTTGCTTTAAAGTCAAGTAAAAACTTAACGAAAATGGATGCCATGCAGCTTGTTGGTAGAGTAATAAGCCATTCTTCTAATCGATTAAAGAGAACATCCATAAATATTGGTATCGAACAATGATGGCTTAATTAACTATAATCAACTGTTGTATTCAGGGCTGTCCCGAAGAGGTCTTTTATGGGGGAGGGGGATGTGCATATTTTTGCCAACTAGAAACAAACAAAAAAAAAAGCCAAAAAAAAAATGGTCCGCAATATTTGCTATTTGCCAACTATAGTTCAACACTTCCTCGATGTGCCAACTCAAATGCTTACCCAGTAAGCACAAGACGCATTTTAGACACTTATAGACGACTAAAGCTAGTCTAGGTAAAGACGCACTTTAGTAGACGTTTTGAAGACATCTTTTAGACGTCTTATATGAATGCGTATTTAAAATGACGTTCAAAAGGCGTCTTTTTAAAAGATAAAAAGACGTCTAGAAGACGTCAATTTTTAAGACATCTTCTAGACGTCTTTTATAAAGAAGTTTTTAAAATGACGTCTTTTTAAACTTTAAAAAGACGTTTAAAAGACGCATAATAAATAGTCTAAAAGACGCATTAAAAGACGTCTAGATCAAGGCTAAAAGACGTCTTTTTTGAGACCTGTTTATAAATATGTCATTATGACTTCTTTTTGACGGCTTTGTCATTACGCGTTAAGTAGATGTCGTATATTCAAAGTAAAAACATAGTTTTTATTATTTTCAATAATTTGTTCAAGTTTTAAGTGTAAATTACTTTAAATTAAATTACTTTTTTACACAATTGCTAAAATTGTTGTCACAGGAATCACTAAAATAATTGCTATAATATTAATATATCTTTTTTTTATTAATAATTATTTCGCTTTTTTAATAGATAGTTGACTGATCATGATAATAAGTGAAAATGGCAAGAATAATATATAAGTTAAATATCAGTATTTTTAGTTTTTATACACCCACAAGCCATATAATAAGTCAAGTATGGTGTAAAAAACTAGCTTGCAATGCGTAAGTTAAATTTTAAAATAACTAAGGGTAAGTTATAAATGTTTTAAATACTGTTTTGATATATAATTGTTATTGTTATTTATTATTTTCATCTTTGCATCATTAACCGTTGGTGGTGATAGCTATATTATTTAGATTGTTAGTTCCTATGTATAATTTGTATATACGAAATTATAACAATATATGACGTATAAAAACAATGAATATATACCACATACTACGCGAAAATGTAACGTCATGTACTTAAATTCATCATAAAATAAACGTCTAAAATACGGCTAAAACGCGTTTTTATGAAGACGTCTTTATTTGGACGTCTTTTAGCCTTATGATCTAGACGTCTACAAGTGCGCTTTTTAGACCTCCTTAAAGACATCTTTAAAACGTCTTTTAAACGTCTTTGTGTTTACTGGGTATATGACAGCTTTGATGGGGGAAGGGGTGACAGCCCCAACACCCCTCTTCCCCTTTCGGAAGAGCCCTGGTTGTATTATTTATTTATTTTGCATTTTTCAGTAATTTCCTTCTATTTATAAAATGCTATCGATTATACTTTACAGAATATATTAGTTTTTTATTTGGAAATTGTAATTTTGTTTGAAAAATATTTCTAATTTTTTGTAAAATTAATAACTTATTTTAAATATATATAATAATACTTTATCTACTTTATAAAGTAGCTTTATAAACTTAGAAATTCTTTAAAAAGTTATAAAAAAATGCAATGGTATATATATACACACCTTAGATTTAATTTAAACTAGACAAAAAAATGCAATGATATATATATACACACCTTAAATTTGATTTAAACTAGGAAAGTGAAGGTATAAAGAGAAATTAAATTTAATTTCTCTTTATACCTTGCCTTGCCTAGTTTAAATCAAATTTAAGGTGTGTATATATTATTGCATTTTTTAAATAACTTTTTAAAGAATGTCTAAGTAAAACTTGGACGTCTCTAGGACGTCTGAATACAACGTCCATGACGTCTTTCACTTGAGACCAGCCAGAAACCTCAATAAGAAGGCTGAAAAAACGTCTCTAGGACGTCTTTTATACAAAATATATCAACAAACTAATAATAAAAAAAACTAATAATAAAAATAATCCTATTATTTTTATTATTAGTTTTTTTTTTATTATTAGTTTGTTGATTTATTTTGTATAAAAGATAAGTAATGATGTAAAGGGTGCCCAGCGGGCATTCTGACGTCCTAAGGA